ATTAGTAAACTCAATTCATTCAATTTATGTGAACCCATTTCGTACTCATTTCGGTTGTGATTGCCGCCGCATGCGCTGTCAAATAAATTATGACAATAAACTCAAATATTCAAGTCACTTCACTTTTCATAACTTAGAACAATTTTAAATATGTTTCCAATTAAAGGCGTTGAGTCCTTTTTTGTACGGGTTACTCGCGACTCTGTGAACTTGGCCTCGGTACGTTCAGTATTTTCACATACACGCCAACGCGCCATTCAACGTCTCCAAATATTGAAGGATAAATTTCCCCGCCAATTTCCAGATGTTCCATCACAGCACGAGGTCACGTGAGGCCCGCAAAGACCTTGACCAAACTGAAAAATAATTGTGTGAATGCCACTTGTAATTAAAAGCAAACTTAACGACGAGAGTGTGTGGGAGAGATATGCACTCCGTCGTGGAGTTTTTTTTCTAGCAATTTATATCTGATTTGGAAAATTGGTCGATTTTTTTCATAAAGTTTCTAGTAGCTGTCTGTAATATGCAAAGCTACGTTTTAGCACATGACGCAGTTGGGTGAAAGAATCCAGCTTTACCCTCATTGCACCAATAATAGGCACTGTACCTAAAAGCCCAAAGAAACCTAAAAAGACGATGTAGACAACAAAATAAGTTGTAAGTTTTAGAGGTTGGAACTTAAGAAAACACTTTTAAAAAATCTTTGATTGACCTTCAAGCTCAAACCCTTGAAATCGGGTAGGGCCCTGCATAATAAAAAAGCTCAATATGAATTTGTTCTGGGTGGGAATCGAACCACGGTCGAGCACTCTTGAAGGCAAGGAAAGGAGTATACTACAGGAACAACAATATAACAGCACTCCATTTAGCCTGCAAGGCAGTTTTATGGGTCACAAATTGGATGTGGGCTTGCCCATGGGTCATGAAATGATCCAAAAAAGAATTCTGTATAGCCTAACTATCTCCACAGCTGCTGTACATCAGACAGATGTCTTTTATGAAAGGTCTGGAGAATTTCACGGCACGTTCGCGAGATCGTCATCGCAGACCTTCGCGACATTGAACGGCTGCAAACAATTCAACAAGAACTTCGCCATCTGCGGCCGGAAGGAAAAGGGTGGCAACACTTGGTTAAAGTCTAGAGAACCTAAAAATACATGTGAATATCATTTTTAAAACGATGGCATTCTGTTCAGACAGAATTGAATACATACGTTGGAAAATTCTGTCACGAAAATAATGTATGTGCAAATATTAGAGGTTATCTGAAGGCCTCTTTGTTGAACTTCTGATCAGAAAAATTGACCAATCATTGTATAGATGACAGAAATAGTCTGTTTTGTCTGCGAAGTGTCGGCCTCAATTTCCCCTGTGTTTCCGAGAGACAATGGTGATAATTGATTCAGCTTGGACGTGTTACCTGGGGCAACTGCGAGATAAGAGTTGTTTTCAGTCTCGATAATTTCATTCACCGGGAAATGATGGGATTGTAAAGTCGGTCTGTCATGCTGTCCACGGGAACGAAAACGAGGCTAAAAGTGCACATAATTGAGACTCTTTTTCGCGTCGTTACATAGCTACGATCTGTGTAATAATTATTAACAACCCATTTCAGTGCCCGGAGCTGGACAGTGAAGCCATAGGAAGAAAGTCTCCCACGGTTGTCACATTGGATGGAAAGCTTGGTATCTTAGTCTCTGAGCAGTCCCTTGCGGGGGGGGGGGGGGGGGGGGGGGGGTCGGTCGGAACCGCCCCGTCTCAAGAGACTTATGAAGAATTGACTGACAAGCCAGCCGGATCAGACATAAAGTGAGCCATCTTCCGTTCTGAAATGCGCGCTTATTAATAGCTTAAGTCGATGGTCAAGGGCAAATGGGATTATCATAATCTCTGTATTTATTAAACTACTTCAAAGGCTCGCGGACTTCACTCCATAAATCGAGAAACCTTTGGTCATTCAGAACTAAGAATTAATTTAGTTCCTATCGGAGCACATGTTGTTCGATTATATTAGTTTGTAAAACTTTCATTAATAAAGGTAACAAGGTCAAGGATGAAAGAGTATTTTTGTTGAAGTCTGCCACTTCAACTATTATTTAAGGCCAGACAAGCAAGTGACGGTCCGGATACTCGAGTTCCATAATTAGCGGGTCACGTCGGGAGCTTTCCCCGCGGTTTTTCCGCGCTAAAGCCGGCCTGCTTCCGTGTAGACTGGGAATGTCAATCAGTGTTAATAATAATGACGATATCAAATTCGCGCCCTGTTCAAATTCGGCACTATTAAAGTTGGCCTGGTAATTTACGACTTGCTCGGTTCGTGTAGACTTCATACGAGTCTGAAAACCATTAAGAAACTGATTTTGGTGTCGGTTCCAAGCTCCGATGGGAAATGGGAATTGAGGCGAGTCTTTTGAAATGTTGATATCAAATTAAAGACACGATAATAGAGACTATAGGCACAATCTCATCATTTCAAAACGCCAAATCAGCATCCAGATTTTCGTCAAATTTTTGATATTTTCAAACTTTGCTGATAGTTATCTAGTACTAGTAGTAGCTAAGTCGGGTAACAATCACTAATTACGGTGCTCCAAGATGGACATCGCAATCGTTAAAAAAGGAGACAAGGCAAGCCTAGTAAAACTGGTCCCGATCTCAAAAATTCTAGTCAATTGATTCAGAATAGCTATTCATGGAAGTCTTAATTCTCATTTACCTAGTTTATACACAATGGGCCAAATTTAGCCCACTCATTTGGGTTACGAGGTAATCCTATACGGTAGTACTGACATGACAAGTCAGTGAGACAGTCAGTCAGTGCATCAGTCAGTACAATATACGTACGGTACAAAGAAAACGCTGGTCTGGCCCTCTGTGTCCAGCAAAAAGTCAGCCATGAGTCCCAGCCATCTACTTTAAATCGCACTTTGCATTATATGGGTCAGTATTGAGCAGACTCGATAAATCTTCGGCCTGAGGTTGGACAGAGATCGATGGACCAGATTTCCAAAAAGGTCAGGGTCAGGACTTTGACATTACAAAACCAGAACTTGTTCCTAGACTATAAACAATTAGCGCTGCCTAGGGCAAGTTTGGTTTAACGACGCCCTGGGGTATAGGAGTTAAGGACCAATGGCCAAACAGCCAAATTTGCGTGTTTTGTAGAAATGAAATTTCCCTCACCGATTATAACTGGGGAAAAATATCTGCAAGCAACCTGAATAATGAGATATCCTGCTAGTATAAGACTCCAGCTGCTCCTGCATGTGAATCGGGTACAACAATTCAGGAACCTTAATTAGTGTTTTCCCAGTGTAAAGTGACGACCCCGCTTTTCTCAAATTGCCAAATCACGGTTTTCCCCATCCAACATTTTCCTCTCGAAGTTTTCTTGCATGTTTGTAATGTACTTCGTGATTACTTTAATGTTTGACAAAAGCCATACTGTACAGTGAACCTTTCACAAGCCTTTTTATCATACGATTTTTGTTGGAGGCCTTAGTTTTCAAACTTGCATGTATACAGCCATGGAGCTTGGTCTGTCAAAGTTATCAAATTAATACTAATGTCGGAAACACTTGTAAAATGCGACGGCTGTTCTGGGGCCGGGGGCACGGAGGTCCAGAACATTATTCATCCACGCGCACAGAACAGAAACCATATACCCCGAGGAATAAATCTCATAGGGCCGATCAGTAATTTTTCCCCGCCCTATTCTCCCCCACAAAGTGTCACCGTATTTTTCCAGAAATTGAACGTTTTTACATCCCCCTTTGCTATCTTTCTTCCTCTGTTATATGAAATCTTCCAACATGTACATGCATAGGCGTCAATCGCTTCTCAAAAGTGAGGGGGGGGGGGGACATACCTTGATTAGAACTAATGCGAGCGTGAAGCGCGAAGCCCTAGCGGCGTGGGGTTGGGGTTAAGGGCCCAGATTTTTTTTTTTTGATCTTTGAACCTGCGTGCTGCGATCTGAGGCAATTTTTGACTACTGTAACCAATTTCTTTGAGCAAAAGATCATCATTTAAACACCATTTTCGAGTTTGGAGTCTTTGAATCAACTATTCTGAGCTCTATCGAATCATTATGTAGGCTACAAGTTTTACCCGGGTACAACACTTTCTAGTAAATTATTTGACATCAGGGAGGCACTAGGCATTAGAGAGTCATTTGAATGTCTCCCAAATGTTGCAATTACCAAGTCTACGACGATTGTTGGTGTCGAAAGTTACTTAAAAACAATTCCTTAGGTCGGGAATAGTATATTAAGTTTTGGTTGGGGAAAGTAGTCAGAATTGGGGTTATTGGAGGGTTTTTGTTTTGTGCATAAGTCTATGAGAATGTCTCATCCCTAAGGTACAATTGTCGGTAATCATAATTAATCTATCATTTTAATGAATAATCAAGCTGGACCATCCACATGTCTATCCAAACTTGTGATCTGAATATGGAATAGGCCTTAGGCCCACTTCCATTAGGTGCATGCTGGAGGAGTTTTAAGGGCTTATTCCTCCATGATGAAAGTATAGATATAGGGCAAGTTGATAATCATTTTTGACGTGTTTTGACGGTGATGTTATTAGTCTGAGTATCATCCGTTGTTCAACAGAGCCCGCAGCTCTGTGTGCAAAGTATTCCATAGACTACGGTGTTGGACGAACGCAGAGGAATGTGTTTACTTTACTACTAGTATCGGTCACACCTCTGAGTAAAAAGCTGCACTGCACTTTTCTTTCGGTCTCATGATATTGGATTGGGTTCGGCGGTAAGACTGTGGAAGTGACATTTAAGATGGTCAATGTGCGTGATTCTGCTATGACTTTGCTCCGATTTGGGATTTGATTTAACCAAGACCTACTGCTTTTTCGTAGTTCCAGATCCCTTTTTGAACCTTTATGAGTCATGTGTGTCTCGTCCGAAAGTTTCAACAGCGGCAATTTTGCAAAGGAAACTGTTTATTTAATATTATTTTTAAGTTAAGCAAAGAAACACTTGCCTTTCATTTGGACCTTGAGTTGTCAAACCAGCCCCGTTCAGAGAGAACTCCTCGTAGGTCTGCTGCAACTGATCGAAATGAATGCTCTCCGGCGAGGTATGCAGCACGAAGCCCAGGCACACCGTGATGCCAATCATGAACAGCAGTAGTAACTTCTTGCATTTCTTGCAGGTGGACCGCCGGAGTAGCATCGTGAAGCTAGGCCGTGGTGTCGGGCCCCAGCACCGGGCCGTGTACCGCACGAGCCACGCTATACTTCCCCCGCTGTTGATAAGAACAGGTAAGGTCAACGTCGCTATCCGATGACGGTTAAGGCCGCGGTATGCCTTGTATGTGAAAAGCTACCGACTGCTTTAAAAACAAAAGGGAACTCACAGGATTATCTCATCAACTTTTGGTCATCAAATAAAAGCACTTTGTTTAGCCTAGAGCTGTAAATTGCCATCAAATTCCACAGTCCTTCTGCAGCTGTCGAATCTCAGAAAACTGTATGACAATGTCGTCCAGAGCCTTGGAGAAAAGAGTTGGACACGTATTTTCAAGTTGACATGTTATAACACCAACTCCAATGCAGAAAGCTCTATATTATGACAGGTCTTCATAAATGTACTCCTCTAAATCATTTGACGAAAGAGAAATGTCACAAATGACTCTGGGATATGTGCAATTATCTTTTCAATAAAGATAAATGCAGAATTGAGCAAATTTTAATATCGCATGAGTCGATGTCTACCTCTTCACTCGATGACTACATATCAAACTGAAGAACACAATCTGTGGCACAGATGTAGAGTTTCCTTATTTTCGTGGCTGCATCATTAACTCCGAGCAAACTAAAGTCTTCAAGAGCCGATTCCAAATCTGCCTCTAGCTTTTGGATACTGTGCCAAAACTGCCGCTAGCGAGGCAAACACCGCGGTGCAAAGTAGGTGTCAACCGGCATTGTGAGGCGTGTTTAGCTACACAGCAATTAAATACATCCCCACACGTCACACACACAACAGTCGCATATGAAACATTATACCAAGGACTCAACTTCAAGTTCTTGACCTCTGTGCCGAGGTGGGCGGAGCCATGAAGCGGAACGCCGTTCGGTGATGACGCGGGTGGAGCGAGTCGTTTGACGGCGAGTGCCCGAGGGGCGTCCGGTGGTGGTGATCCGAACCAACGAATACGGGAAGTTGTATGCCTAGACGTGATTAAAGGGTGCAAAAGCTGAAAAAATCCAGCAGCATCTATCGGGTGTTAACTTAATTTGACTTTCCAAGAGAGAAACGGGCAAGGACCTTCTTCCAAAAACAAAGGGTTGAGAGAACAGATTTTCGTGTGCTTTTGGAAGATTCTCCAACTGCGAACATCCAGAATTGTTGACTTGCAATCCATTGGATATTAGAGTGCTACCGAAAAATCATTTTCAGCATTTCGATTCCAGACATAGTCGGGTTCCGCTGTCTGAAAATAGTTAAGCGGTTAGGAAGATATCAAAACCCCAGCAGGGCCGAGCATGCACTATGCGGGGTACCACTCGTCTGGCTGACTGATGCGAGCAACTTCTTTCCTTCATATAGTTTTTGGCACTAAACAAAGAAGCCGCAAGCTCACAGCATGGCTCTTTACCTTTTAGCCGTTGTCGATAATTCAAAGTGATTGAAAGATGAATGAAAAAGGACAACATTATTTTCAGGACCCTGCGGGTGAGGAAAACATGCTGACATTCAAGCTTAACTGCCGGCCCTCAACGATGACGTCGAGACTTGATTTAATCGGCTGCCTAATTTATGACATTGACCCTGGGACATTAGGCGGCCGTGTGACGTTGCAATGTAGAATGTCAAAACCGGCACGGTGACATGGCCCAGTTCCTGCATGTCTGATCTGACACGCGAGACAAACACTGAAAATGCGAAAACAAATTGCAGTTCAACTTCAAAGGCAACGTTTTAATTTCGGTTACAAAAAGGCCATATAAAGTTAGTCTGTGTGGATGACAGATGCTTATTAGCTTTGTTTCATTACCAATGTACATGTACAGTTTTTGGCGTTATTGTGAAATTTTCTATGACCAACGTCACTACAATAATTATTTGACACATACAAAATATGGTAACAATGTGCAGTAAGGTGCTTTAAAGGGTTCATGCGATTAATTTTTTTCTTAGGGACACATTTTTGTGGAATTTTCTACTCGTCTTAAATACATGTACATGAAAACTATTTGACAGCTGGTGTTGTGATGTCATTTCAGGAAGACACTGTTCAGTTTAGGCCTCTTCTGTTCAAAATGTGAACCCAAACTTTGCTAATTGAAAAACTTTGTGAGAGAGGTTGGCTCATTGGCTTTACTGCCATGGCACAGCAACGAATAACCAAAGAAACAATTATGACAGCAAAATATCCAAAATTCTAGCACCTTTTTGCAAGGGCGGTTCCGCGGGGTGGGGGGGGGATACCCCCCCAAAAAAAATTAGAACCCTTTTTTTAGGTGACGTCGCAATACAGACAGGCACTGCGTACACCACCATCTTTTCCTAAAAAAAAAGGGGTAAAGTGGTAAAAAATTGCCTCAGATAAAAACAATTTTTGGCCCCCCCCCAAAAAAAACCCAAATTGTGTTCTGGATCCGCCCTTGACTTTTTGTGCTAAAAAAGCTGTAACATTGAGGTCTGTGCCCGGAATGACATCACAGTTTTGTTCATGAATATGGAAATTTTCATTAGAATAAAAACCAAAAAGCATGATACCCTTGAAAATGGCAAAACGAAAATTGAAATAAGGTTAGGGGCCCTAAATGGGACCTAGAGGTGTATTTTTAAAGATTGCATTAAACAAAAATATCATGTGAGTTATTTCGAACACGGTACATGGTATACCAAAAAAAAATAAAAGAAGAAAATACTGAGGAGCTATTAACGATCGGTAAAATACCTTTGAGGATTTCTTTCCAGGGTAAACCAGCCACAGAAGTTGGAGTTTGAAAAACCATATTATACTTTACAAACTGCATGAATATAACATACCAGTATAAGAACTTCGGGTCGTTGATTACTGTTCACTTGTCAAACCTCATCTTTATTGCGTTTAATCTACCCCGGGTTGGCCTTGACCGGGGAATTTGTAATCAAGTTTATTTTTTCCCTCGCTGGTTCTCTTTATAATCTTACCCTGTATGTGATTTAAAAGGACTTTCAAAGTTGTTTTTTCCCCGTATGTTTGACATCGTGGGTTATTGTCGTGACTTGCTAAAGTAATTATCTGGTGCTCGCAATTAAATGAAACTACCTATGCTGCATTCATTAGGCCATTGTCATCCAATTTACTGTCCCGACAGAAAGATGTTTGACCGGAACACAAAGGCACGTTGATGAAATTTTCAATCCAAATTGTTGTGTGCACTCGCGATTTTACAAAATAAACAAATCAAATGCTCACCTTGCGCTTTGTAGTGTCATCCAGTTTTCCTCTGTCGTGAAATTACACTGCTCAGGCAATAATAATCACAAACTTTATTACAGGTTACAGAATACAATGTACCGGAGCCATTTTGTAAAAGACATGATTTGACAGGCTTTGACGGTCAGCGATTCAGCGCGAAGAAATGACTATAAAAAACTGCTAGCCACCAGCCGCGAGTTCCAGTTTTGCCTTTTCGGTTTACAAAGACCTTCAAGGTACGTTTCTGATTATTGTCTGCTTGGTTGGTCGATCTCTCCATCATGTTGTCCATGATTCCTTTAATCATGATCTTGTATCAACTCTCCACGCAATTATGTTACCGTACGCACTCTGCAGTATTAATTTTTGGCATAAACTGTTGGGAAAAAAGGCTTAGTATAAAATAACTGTTGTAACCACGTATTGAACATTATTAATTGTGTGTGAAATAAAATGAGTCTTGTACGTTTTTGGTGGTTGCAACTCCTCATTCCTGCCCCCTTTTTTAAAGAAACTTTAAGATGTGTGTTGTAGGTATCAGGAGATTATTTAGAGCACCTTTCATTCATCAACTTCAGACATTGGATGTATGCTGTAAACCAAATCCAAACGCTTAACGTGTCCACTCGTTGAAATCCTCCATAGGGATCATAATATTGTGACCTAATTCCACACAGACACCGTTTGCGTTGACCGCTGTGCACCACAAGACCCATGGGCATGCTCCATAAATAGAATTACATATTGTTCATAACATATCATCGAAACTTGCTGATTTGACGCGTTGCACCTCACGTTGATCGGTCTGTCAAATGATCATCTGGGTCAAGGGTGTCAAAGGTCAATAGCGGGGATCATGGGAATGAGGTCACGGTCACATGACCCCATGAAAACATCACCATGTACATAAAGGTGCCGATAGCTCACGGGTTTGCTGGTAAGGGACTAACAAGAAACCCAGGGGACTGATGATACCTATCGAGTTTGCGGTCCAAGGGCCCACAGGTGCAAAGGAAAGTCAATTAGTGTTTGTTTAAATGCCTCATTCGCTGTTGGAGATGAGAGGGGGTGGTGGGCGCGTCGTGGCCGTGAAGTGAAGGCGTGGACGCTCCCGGTGAACACGAAATTAGGACGCGCTCTTAAACGGAGGTTGCCTTGTGCTCATAGAAATGCTGTTTTTATTAGACCATTTACGAAAGTAAACGAGACCATTTTAGTCACGAATGACTGTTAAAACATGACACCGTCTTCTCTCAAATTCCCAGCCTCAATCCAACCCGTGTCTCGACACTCCTAATCTTAAGTTTCTTCCCTCATGAAATTTACGGGTCCTCGTTCTTCAACGTCTTCCCTTCCGCCATGATTCCCCGATTATGTACTGGAATGTACTTGACTGTCAAACCTCCTTTTATTGTGGAGAAGGTACTCCTGACTTGGCCCATGACCGGGGAATTTCTGATCAGGATTTTTTCCCCAAGTTGTTGTCTGCTTATCCAATTTGTAAGGTCATTCAAAGTTGTTTTCTTGTTAAGACTGTTGTACCAGAAACACCCCCATAAAAAAATATGCCCCTTATCACGCATGATTTCCGCGCTTTTATTTGATGGGGGCAGCCTTGTCGGAATGGGGAAAGATTCGATTGACGCACTTTTAAACCGAGTGGTCTGGACGTTAGAGTCCCTTATTAATCAAACCCCAGTCAGGACAATCCGGGAGGTGGACACCATTTGACACTCAGTCAATGTGACACCAATCCAGGTCGAATCTGATCAGGAGTTTTCATTCTGGTGCTTTTCTTTTGCGTAGTTTCAATTTAAACGGCCAAAAAGTGGGGGTATATTTCCCCTTCCCACGGGATTTACGCCCATGATCACTGTGGCAAGAGCTGAACACAGCTCAACCAGTCATCTTATGGAGGATATCTTACGAAGTGCATCTCCAGTCTCTTATTTATTCCACGAACAGAATAAGAATAGAAATAGAAAGAGAAAAAAGGGAAACACGCATTAGTCAGCGATCATTGTATGTTTGACATCAAAAGTCATTGTCGTGACTTGTTAAAAATAGTTATAGGGTATTCGTTATCGGATAAAAAATGCCAATACTACACGTATTCGGCGAGTGTCAACCAATTTACTATGAACTGTAAGGTGGTCGACCGGAACACAACGGCACGTTGATGAAATTTCCAATCCAAATTTGTTGCGCACTTGCGATTTTAATACACAAATCAAATACTCACCATGCACTTTGGCATGTTATCCTGTCGGTTAATGATACAACAGCCTACGTTCTCATCTGCAGTTCAGTTAATTAACTCTTTGCTCAGAGAAGATTAAGGATTGGTCAGTGACTCGGCGCGAATAAATGACTATAAAAGTGCATGTATTTCGATCGGTCACCACTTACCAAAACCTACCACAACTTTACCAAAACCTACCATAAGTCGCAATGGCTGAGCAAGCAGCCCTGGCATTTCAGGCCGTTGTTGGAATTGTTGGGATCTGCGGTAATGGTTTGGTGTGCGGGGTGATAGCTAAAGTTCGCTTCATGCACACCCTGACCAACGCCTTCATCTTCAACCAAGCCCTGGTCGATCTCATCGGGTCGTTGGTGATTCTACTTCAAAGGTTCGTACCAATCCCTGATCCGATACCTCCCGGGGCTATCGGGGTGCTTCTCTGCGCTCTGTGGGCCACTAAGTTCCTCCAATGGGGACCGTTCACCGTGTCCACATTCAACCTGATAGCCTTGACTCTGGAACGGTACTTGGCCATAGTGTTCCCCTTCAGGTACCAAACGTTGGCCAGTCGAAAGAAAGCCACAGCCGTACTTGTTGGTATGTGGGTGGCGGGATTTTTGTTCTCCGTTTATAGCATCTATTTCCGCTACTACGAGGACGGGGAATGCGTACCGAATCAGGTGGCTCACCCGCGAGTTATTGGGGTGTGTGTCTTCTTCGTGAAGTTTTTCCTGCCTGTCAGTGTCATGCTCGTAGTCTACGGCCACATAATGGTGGTTCTGAAGAAGGGAACTGGCAGAATTCAGCCTGGACCGGCGGCTGCAGGTCCATCTACCGAGGGCCAGGGGGAGTCGCTGATGCGTGCTCGCCGTAACACCTTCAAGACCCTCCTGATCGTCTGCGTGGCGTTCATCATTTGTTGGTCACCAGACCAGATCTTCTTTTTCCTCTTCAACATCGGAGTGGAAGTCGACTTCAACTCTCCCGTATCCTACTTATTTGTCGGAATGGTTTCTCTCAACTGCTGCCTGAACCCGTTCATATACGCCATCAAGTACAAGCAGTTCCAAAAGGCGCTGAAAGTTGTCTTTGGTAAGAGGGGTGACAGGGCTTCAGTCGCAACTCTAAGTACAGGTCAAAACTGATCGAGGAATCTGCTGGTTGATTTACTTTCCGACCGGTAATAGAAAGTCCAGATTATGTTTGAGTTATGGTCCTTATGGGTACATGTATTTACGTAAAACTTTCTATTGACCAGGCACCGTTGCAAGAGGTAGTTTTTAAGATGTAATACGCAAAAAAAGATATTCAAATTGCGTTTTTGTGGTGGAATCTGCAAACTTTCTTTCAATTTTAAGGTTATTATTGATGTACGAGAGAGTTCCTATAAAAGGATCGTATTTTTAGTGTCATTAGATTCAGCCCGATCACTTTTTGTTACAGGTCGAACTCTTTGTTTAGGATTTCTTCTAGTTTTCTCTAAAACCCCCACGACACGACACAAATGTTGTATTCTCCGCGCATCGAGTCATTTACTCCCCCTCCCCCTCTATAGTAATGGACGATGTATCGCAGATCGACTTTGGCACACTTATTTTTCGTTTAAGCTAAGAGGTATTTCGCTTGAGGTAGGAAACCAATTATTAGATAATAATATTGTATTTCTCGCACTGATTCGTCGACTGTATGTATCTGTGTTCATTGTTCTGTTCTGTTAATGATCTCCGTGACCAAGAAACAATCATAATAGTGCAAATAATGAGAGTGCAATGGTAAGAGTAATTTCATGAGGTGACAGATGGAATGTCCCATTTCATGAGGCGAAACCACATGACATGGAACATCTCATCTCTCTGCGAATGGGAATTTTCTTTCCATGGCACGAATGTGACACATTCATTAATCGTTTCATACACCGCCTGACGGAGTAAATCCTCGTCATCTGATTGCTATTGGTAACTTGTAAACTGGTACTATGAATGTACAGCATCAGAGCCCAGAGCGCAGTGCAATGGAAGTTCAATTTACTGCGGTGCAGCTGCGCTGTTAGTCCGAGTATCAACCATTAGCCACGGTCGGCTTCGCCGCCGCCAGGGCCAGGGTCTTTTACATAGACTACCGCGCTGTGCGCTATGCCTAGGATGAATGATTCAATGACATGTGATCAACGACTCACCAAACTGAAGTAGGGGATTCATTCTGCATTTCAGGCGTTGTATAATTTTGATGCGTTATCTTCGTATTTTGCAATTGGACAAGGATTCCATTCTCCTATTTATTTGAACTCTTGAAGGCTTCCGAAATTAAGCTCCCCAGGCGATGGACAGACGTGTCAAGTTGGACTGTGGAGACTGATGATGCGGATTATTAACTAAGTAGGCGCCCGTCAATCTTTGTATATAATGCAAAGGCCCCATGGGCGTCGCCAGGATTTTTCTAGAGGGGGGCAAAACATATTTTCCCCAAAAAATTCTTGTATGTCTCAACATTTTCTCGATTTATAAGTTTGAGGGGGGCAGGGACACATTGCCCCCCCCCCCGCCCCCAAACCCATACATTTACACCACTATGACTTCGCGCCTCTTTTTCTTTTCTTTTTTTCTCTTTTTTTTCCTTCCCTTCCTTTTTTTTTTTTTGCTTTTCCAAGGAGGACAAGCGCCCCCCCTTGACCCCCCCCCGCGACGCCCATGAAAGGCCCACCCGCAACAACCGCCGAGTCTCCGATACAAGGCGTTGCCCGTGTTCAACTCAGTGCGGCGAGCCACGAGTTCCTGTTTTACCTTAACCTTTTGCGTTTAAAAATACCTTCAAGGAAATTTCCCGAATTGTCTGTCTGATTGGTCGTGTCTATACGTCTCTTCAGCGTCATCTCGTCCTTGATTCCTTTAAACATTGTTTCGCACCATCAGCTCTTCACGCAAAATGTGGTCGTGTGGAGCCCGAAAGTGCACCCCTGGTGCAGGTGACACCCCTGGTGCAGGTGGCGCGCTTCCGAGACCTTGAATATGAAAATTAACGTGCAAAAATTCTAGAATTTGCATTATTTTTGGTACATCGATTTCTTAAGAAAATTACTTTCCCAAAAGGGCCTTTATAAAATACTAGCATTTCAATTGTACTGATAAATCGCCTGACATGAAAGAAAAATATCGAGCCAACAACTGACCTCTCACTTCCGAAAATCTAAAATACATGCAGACTAGTTCAAATATAGGTGTACTCGTACAAAGATGCAAATTTATGAAATAATTTTGTGGCTGTCATTAGGTGAAAACTTAAAGTTGAATAGAAGACCAAGATGTCTCCTAGGGTTTACTTTTTGACTCGTTTACGAAAAAGAAAATATAAAGTGACCGTTGATGAGGACTGCACTCGAGCCAGCCCGACTTAATCTAGAATACATCGGCTGTAGGTACGTAAAACTTCGCGTCATTAAACATTATCGTTCTCACGCACCTACTCGATGTGAAAACAAACGTTAACGAACAAGGAGACCTAGGATGAAAGTGCCGGATGTGAAAAGTCGTAAATGAATTCGTTTTTACCCATCTCCAAGTAATTTCTCAACAGGTTCTTGAAGAATACCAAGATAAAATTCCAACATGAATGTTTCGGGGTGGTTACGGTTGTGAATAATAATATTTTGCCAAAATTATAGCAAGAGAAAGGGCAACCCAGTGAAAAATGCCCATGGGGGTGCGCAAGGGTTCCGGAAGCTGAGCCGCGTGACCTTTTACTTTCAGGATCTGTTAATTTCTGATACAATGTTAAAAAAAAAAGGTTAAGCATGAGGTGATCGCTGTTACCACAGAGTGTGTTGTACATTTGATATGAAATAAAAAAGAGTTTAGACAAAGAAGCTCATGTTCATGTTCCGAACCTCCAGTAAAAGTAGGTTAGAAATACATTTTATGAAAAATGTTTACACCGAAGAGTTGAGAAAAAGGATAATCTGGGTCATGGGTTTCGAAGGTCAATAGTGAGGATCATGGGAATGAGGTCACGGTCACATGACCCCAGGAAATATCGCCATGTAGATAGAGGTGCTGATGGCTCTCGAGTTTGCTGGTAAGGGACCAACTGTGTATAAGAAGCCCAGGGGACAGATCATACCCATCGTGTTTGCGGTCCAAGGGCCCACAGGTGCAAAGGAAAGTCAATTAGTGTTTGTTTAAATGCCTCATTCGCTGTTGGAGATGAGAGGGGTGGTGGGCGCGTCGTGGCCGTGAAGTGAAGGCCTGGACGCACCCGGGGTTCGCATTCGTGAACACGCAATAGATATGAGGACGCGCTTTTACGGATGTCGCCTTTTTCTTAACAAAAATGTTGACGAATGACACCCATATTTTTGACCACTCAATACACGTGAGGCACAACCAAGTTCTTCAGCTTTTCCCTTCCCTCGTAAGAAAACCCATGTTTTTCATTGTATTTCGCTCCATTCTTCCGCATACTATGTTTTGTGGTATCACTCTGTTGAACCACTTGAATTATGGTTCAAGGTATAATAGTTATTACCATAAGGGTTCGTTTATATTTGAAGACCGCATAAGTGATGTACACTCATAAATCTTTACACCTTACCCGTACTCGACAGGAAACATTCTGCTTTACAGCTAAGAACTCTCACATTAAAATCCCGGTCTTTGTATTGGGTAGACATTTTAGCACCTGTTTCCACTTTTCTGTCTCCGACCAGGAGAAGTGTGCTCTACCGCGTTAAAGATGGTCTGTCGGTGAAATTGTGGATAATGATGTCTGGGTTGATTTGAAGAGTTTGCGACGGGAATTTAAAAAAAAATCTTACACTCTTAAACAAACGTGAATAGTTATAGTTGACTAAAAATTGACCAAATTTTTTTTGTACGAACTTGCCATTAACTTAAAACCCAAACGACTTTTATGAGTGTAGTATATAGGCCTAGTTCTCAAACTTTGTCAAAACGCGATGCTCGGCCCCCTCCTTGAAAAAGTTGTGTATTGGTTTGAAGGAAAAAAAGTACTACAATAAGTGTTAATTGTTTAATACTCTTTGTGGTTACTGTTATTGATCAATCAATCCAATAATACCACAGCCCTCATGTTAAACCTCATTCCACGCCCAAAAGCCTGAGTAATATGTTTAAAAAAAGCCGGACGCCCCCATATGGGTATGTTAACATCGGGATATTAATTCATCCTTTTTGGCAAACTTCCCAAACCACCATTACTGCTTCACAAACCGCTCGTATAATGTATGCATGCGCATGCACGTGCTTTCCTACAGTGTTACACTGCAAAATTTTACTAATTTCAAACATCGTGAAAAAACAAAGGCTGCGAACACGTCATCAGAGATCCCCATCTCTCCTCCTGGCAAGCATTGCAGAATCGATTACACTAGTCTTCACTCACCTCAAGCAGATACCTTAAAGCAAAAGTCTGAGCCAATTGCAACACTTCGAAAGTTAACTCAAAACATTTTGTGACCTGATTATGTCACATTCGGTTTGAAAGTTTAATTTTAGATTCCGTGACCGGTAGTTTTTTTGTATGAGTGTACAGAAAAGACCGCTGGTAGAGGAGGAAAGGGAAAGGATCGTGTCCGAGCTGTGAACTGAACGACTTTGCGTTTACGCCTGCGTGCCACGCTAGCAGTCTTCTTTTTTGCATGACTCAGTCACTGGCTACATCCAATCACATGGCGTGCCTTGTCCTGACTTAAAGCCAAGTTAAGTTTCCAGTTGAGGTTCTTTACCCAAAGTATCGAATCGTAGAAATTACGGATGACAATGAACGTCGGAACTGATTCTAGCGTTTCCGGAACCCAAGAAGAATGATCAATTGGCCACATGGCCTTAATTCTCACTGATTTCTCAAGAATTACTGATATCCTCCCACAAAAATGTTTCAGAAAGTCGCTAATAAGCATGCCCCCGGTTGCGCGCGGTCGATGTAGTTTGGCCTTCATTTTGTGACCCGGCGAAGGAGGGGAATGTTCAAATGATTCACTTCGTTTTCGGGATATTTTGTTCCCCCTATAGAGGTCGCTTTGAACTTCACGAGATGAGTGTTTGGAACTTTGGTAACGCCACATACTCCCATCGTGACATAATACCGACCTCGGGCGTGCTGTATTCAAGCTGAATGCGCGCGCATTCCCAAG